TGCCAGGGGACTTCCCATGATGCACTGAGCTCCTCTTTTCCTCTCCCTCTCATTAGTCATCATCGTTATGGCTGTTTTCATCATTGCCATTATTATTATTGGTCATATTTCTACTATAATAGTTGTTACGGTTGCTATTGTTTTTGCTGTGCATCTCTGTGTCTATCTTTCTCTCTCCACACCCTCCCACCCTCCTCTACCTCATCTGTCCCTCTATCTCTCTTTCTAACCTCAGTCGGACGAGGCAGACTGCCGCCCACCTAGAGCTGCTCAAAGTTTCAGCCTGTTAAAGGAAGTTTTTCCTTGCCACTGTTGACCAAGTGCTTGCTCATGGTGGGAATTGTCGGGTCTCTGTAAATAATTCTATAAAGAGTACAGTCTAGACCTGCTTTAAAAAGAGTCCTGAGGAAAACTTCTGCTCTGATTTATACAAATAAAATTGAATTGAATTGAAATGCTATAGCCCAGAACAGACAAAAGGAAGGGGAGGGTGAAGTGAGGGAGGTGCACTCTGCAACTACATGCCTTGCTAGATGCCACTAAATCCTACACACTGGACCTGGAAAAGCAGATAATGTTTGTTTGTGGATTGATAGATTATCCAAATAGTTGCAGATTATTATTCCAAATGCTTACTGCCAACCTTTTCTCATTATATACAGATATTTCTTTACATCCATGCAAGTCAAGGTCTTGCTTTATAATAGCCCACACTGTCCACATACATCTGAAAAAATATAAAAAATATAGAAATATTCAACACAGAGCAATAACCCTTATGCAAGACTTCTTATTATAATAATAATTAATGAGGGCAAGATGTGAAGACCTGTTTAATTACTTCTAATGACTGAATACATTTACATTCCCTAAAAGGTCTCATTTTTTCCACCACATAGTCGCAAGAGCAGTGCAGATGCTCCCAGATTTTAGACTGGAAAAGACTGGAAATCTTTCAGTATTTGGCCCAATCTAATCTAATCTTTTTTCTGATAAATTGCTTGCTATGTAAAATGTCCAATAATGACATATTCCAATTTCAAATCCACAGAAGTGATGTTATACTTTCTGATAAACAGTTGATTTATGAAGTTTTCATATTTGAGAAGCTTTAGAAAATGTCTGATATTAGATTCATTACTTGGATTTTGAATTGACTATCAAACTTGTTTATGGTCTCTTTTTTTTTAGCACTACTACAAACTAAGTTTATGTGCAAGTGATCTCATAATTTCCCTTGGTTAACCTTTCTCCTCACCTCGTGTTGCCTCTTTTAATTCAAGTTGTTCAGTACGAATGATAATCAGTGAGATTCAATTGTTGACTTCAGTGCTATGATAAAAGCAACTTTTGTTTCTTATAGATTTAGAAAAGACAACTTGGATATTTAGTCTCTTGATATTCATCTGTTTACCTGACATATAGTGCTGCCAGTAAAAACTATTTCCATTTACATTATTGATTAATCTGATGATTATTTTCTCGATTTAATCGCTTGAACTACAAAATGTCATAAAATAGTGAAAAATGCCTGTTACCATCTCCTGGTTGATGTTTTCAAATAGCCTGTTTAATCTAATCAACATTAAAAAAAAAACAAAAAAAACAACAACATCTGATTACTATCAAATAAGAAAGAAATATAAAACATTCTCACAATTGAGAAGCTGGAAGCTACAAAAAAACATTTTTTCTTGAAAAATGACATAAACAGTGTTCCTCAAACTTCCTCCATACACCTTACCGTAACTAATCACGGACATAAGCTTGTGCTACATGGATAAACGTGAGTATGTAACAGGCTGATATTGAAACACAAATATTACAGAAAATTCTAATGTTTCAGTGACGTCATAGTTTAAGTGTTTCCTTGTATTTTGATACTATTATGTGTTTTTTTAATTCATTTAAAAAAATAAAAATAAATACGTAATATAGAAAGATTCCTCCGTGTACCACCAGTGACTTAAACAATTAATCAACCATCAAAGTAGTTACTGATTAGACTACTAACATACAGTACTACTACCAGGTGTGACCCAAAAGATCGTCTGACACAAAACAACAAATTCCAGTGAGATTCAGTGTCAGCAACCTATTTCATTGGTATTTTGTTTACCTTGTATTTAACTACATTTGACGATGGAATTTTTTGTTTTCTATAATCCTTTTCGAATCTGGCTTGTATTCTGTCATGGCCACACTTCTGTTATCCACATCTCCTTCACATGGATGAGTAAGGACACCTCAATGCTTGGATTTCATAAGACTAATCGAATTCAGTGCTCACATACCAAGAATTATTGGAGGTCTTTTGAAACTGTCATGTAATGGAGAAAGGATAGCATCAGCAACACTGACAAGTGCACTGAGTTCTGCCTTTATTGTACAGATTTTAGAGTCCAGCTAATATTATGCCAGTGTCAAGGTTTATAAGTGCTTGGTAAATTCAGTAGTTCATCCTATATTTTGTATGTAAGATGTTAGTGACTAAAGCTGTTCAATGTAGAGGAGGAAAGAGTGTAACATTTCTCTTTGAAATGTAGTAAGAGTGTTAAGTATGATATTGAAATATTCATATAAGTCTAAGTACCTTATATTTGTTCTTACTTGACTAAATATACTTTTATTTTTCAAAGAATTGTGCTGGACGTTGAAATGCGACAGCAACATCACATATTGTCATGTTGTCCACCCCTGGTTACACTCATTCATAAAGCAATTTGTGAGATTGTGAATGAGTCTTCAACCCAACACCCTGCGCTGACATACTGAGCATACACTAGTAAACTGGATTCATCAATAAAGCACCATTGTTGTATATTCTTCAGTTGAAACAATGAAAGCTAACAGTGACATAAAGATCGGGTTTTGTATGTTCAGCCCTGTACCGAGTGAAGACATTCATCCTTTGCCGGCAGGTTTGTTTGCAGCAGGTTAGATGATGCTCAGTGTGTCTGCCTGCAGTTTCAGAGACGTGATTCAACTACAGTAGCTATTAGATATGTACCTGGTAGTCAATCTATGGATTGATCCAAGTCTACAATAATAGCATCGTCTTACAGTATATTTACTGTTACTGTTTCCATGGTGATTGAGAATTTGCAGTCGTAGAAAACAATTTATAATCACTGATGTTCCTGCGTTATTATCTTCTCCTGCATCTGGCAACAAGCATCAGTTGTGTTTTATATACTGAGAACACAAAATATATTTTTTAAACCATCAGGAAGACAAAGTTAAAGTGTGTGTGAGTATATAAACATTAATAAATAATAATAAACATTTATGAGGTAATTATTTTATCAAATATTTCTATGAAATTGGAAATTTATCAGTGTAATCGAATCAGTGCGTGGGTGGGTGTGATGAGTATGATGTTTCCATAATCCGTAGATGCTCTGAAGATTTAATGTTCAATAGATTATAATAATGGACGAGTGTGCACGAATTAGTGACAGCTAGCAGTTTATCTGCAGATAACAACTTCCTTGCTTCACCCTCCCCTTCCAACCGCAAAAGGATAAACTATGGTGGCCACAGAACATAAAAAACACTCCCATCTAGAGCCAGTGTCTGGTTTGTCCCTTCTGGGCTTCTGTAGAAACATGGCAGTTCAACTCCATGGAAGGCAACCCATGGCATCTGAACATAAACGGCTCATTCACCAACAGGAAGACATGACGTTCTGCATACAGGGTAAAGCGGTAGCTGTACAAAAGATCATTAAAAGGACCAGTATGTAGGATTTAGCAGCATATGACGGTGAAGTAGAAGATAGCAACTAACTGAACACCACTCACGTCTGTGTTTGACGACTTGGGAATAAAAAACGGGTCGTGAAGTGTGTAGGAGAAACTACAAAACTTGCAAAAAATGTGAAAGGCCCTTTCCACAGCCAGTGTTTGGTTTGTTCGTTCTGGGCTACTGTAGAAACATGGCGGACTTCACGGAAGGCGACCCGCTGCATCTGTAGATAAAAACGTTTTATTCTAAGGTAACAAAAAAAGGTTTTTATACTCTAATGAAAACATACTCATGGATATAGATCCTGCCAAATGTTACACACTTTAAAAATGTTGAGACTAAACCTCGACACAGAATACAGTTTAAAGAATATGCTTCAAAAATTGGGCATCTCTCCCATGTTTCTTTTATCTTTTCTATTTATATGAACACTGTCACGCATCAGAGTTAAATGAAGTCGTGAGTATAATTTTCTTACCCACATTTACCTCCTGATACATAGTTAACAGTGTGATTCAGTAAAGATCTCGTGGCAATAAAATAGAAGCAAAGTATCCATCATGACATATTCCGTCAACATGTTTCCACTGATGTCAAAAGGGAGGGACATTCAAACTCACGATATGTCATCATTTCATATTAGACTAAAAGCAGCATGTAACTTTAGACACAGTTAAATGTTACTTGAGCCATTTAGTTTCCAAGGTAACGAGAAGGGTATATTTAGAGTGTACTAAACTGAGACAGAAGAAAAAAGTGTTAATAATCTTGATGGAGCAATTCATCAAACACAAGTCAAATAGTAAAGATCAAAACACCTCATCTGCTTACAGTTGAAGGTGAGAGAATGCTCAAGAACAACCGCCCAGCTCATTCAGCACCACTTCTGACACTTGCGTCATTCAGTATTTAGTGGCATCACTGATTCACATGGTACAGTAGAGGTTTCACTTGAGCTACTCATCAAGGGAGGTTCAGGAGAAATACAGACGTCAATGGGAAAAGGTGTTTTTTTGTTAAATATGTTGAGCTATTCAGCTGCAATAACCACCCATGCAAGAATGTTAAATATATTAAAATAGCACACAGTGATCTTCTCTGTAGGCAGGCTTTTTCTTCATTGAAATTCACAAATGATGTGTATTAAAAGAGTATTGTATCAGATCATTACAGGGCCGTATCAAACCAAAAGTTAGATACATTAACTGAATTCTGAGAATCAACATAGTTTATAATACAAAAAGCAAACAACACAGAGGTCACATACTTTTATTTGGGTATAAAAAGTTTCCTCCACAATTATTTTGTTTTACGTAACACCTCAAACATTAACCAGCTTTCATAGTTGTGGCTCTCACTTGAGTTTGGACAGGTTTTATAGCGCTAAGACAAGGTGAGAGAAAGACAGACTGCTCAATTCAATAAGATGTTATCTTCTGGAAGCCCAACTTAAATGTAATTATATTAATTAATTATATTTAACTAGGGTTGCAGTCATTAAGTAAATGAGTATTGTACCTGTGTGTTACCGACCGAGCCTTCTCCTTTAAGGTGGAGTGTTACGAGCTAGTTAGCTATCTAGCTGCTACGAATCAGGTTAAAGACAATTAAAATAGTCTAAATTGGCTTTTCACAGTAAAGCACTAAAGTCCACATACTGTGCTAGGATAGTTTTTTTGTTTGTTTGTTGTTTCAGCTTGAAATTATATCAAACTTTGGACACTTTTCTCTGGACTGCAGTTTTTAAAACTTTCTGTGCTTAAAAAAACCCTCATTATTGACATTTAGAAACAGTGTCTATAGGAGAGTAATCTAGGAGCAAAGGTCTACTTTCTAGCTTTCGGAGCTGTCAACCACATCTTACAGCCTGCATATTATATACTGCATGAGTGATATTCACCAGTTATTTTTTATCAACTGCCAAGGAAAAATAAATATATAAATCTGAGTTCTTACTAGTGGCCATATTGTGAGATTCATTCTGTCCCTTACCCATAGTTCACACATCACTGTGCAGTGCCCTAACCAACCAGTAGGAGTCACTAATGCGGCATTAATAATGACAACCCTCACTGGCTTCCCACCAGGAAACATGGCCAATTATGTTCTTTGGAACACAGAGCCAGAGGTACCAGGATTAAACTCCAGCTCTCTGCTGAGGTGGGCTTAAGCTAGAGAAGGTTAAAAAAAATGTTTTTCTCTGTATCGACGTACAAACAGTCAAGATAAAAAAGAGCAGGTAGAACACAGGAGAGTCTTATTATTTACTTGTATCTACCTCCTTTGGTTAACTTGCTTTAAGTATCAATTGTAAAAAGTTACTTTGGTTGTAAAAAAGCTCAAACATTTCTCATCTCATAATTATTCTGTCAGTCTGAGCACTGCCCTAAGTTTAGCGGAGCGTCCACGAGGATTCTCTTTTACTTCGTCCTTTTCTGGGACGATCACTTTTCTCTTCAGAGGAAGCCAATGAACACTTCCACCCTTTCTTTTTCCATCCCTCCTGGTGCTTTGTTTCCTTGGGCTGAAGTGATACTGATCTAGATTAGACAAGTCATCTCCCTGGAGGAAACGTTTGACCAGTCTGTCTTCCAACGAATGAAAGGTGATTACGCAGAGACGTCCTCCAGGTCTCAGTGCTGCCTGGGCAGCGCGCAGGCCTGCATGTAGTTCGTTCAGCTCGTCATTCACAAAAACACGCAGAGCTTGGAAAGTCTTAGTGGCCACGTGTGCAGGTCGCTGGAGGCGGTCTTTACGTGCGTAGAGGACAGCTGCAGGAAATGATCCTAGAGACAAAGAAATGGTCAGAGTAAGTCAGTGCACTACAACATATTGTTCTCAGGCTTAATGCAAACAGAAAAAAATGCTGAAGAAGAAAGATTCACTGATTACATTTGATTAACTGACTAATCGATCGACAGAAAGTTATTCAGCAACTATTTTGAGAATTGATGAATCATTTCAGCAAATTTTCAAGAAAAAAGTCAAACATTTAATGGTAACTTTGTCTTATGTGACCTGATCTTTGTAGCTTGGACTGTTGGTCTGAAAAAACAAACTCACCTTAAGCCTGGAGTATCTGACTAACTCAGGAGGATCCTCAGTAAATACTGTGTTCATACATTGCAAAAAATCACTGTATTCTTCTAAAGGACAAGAGACAGAGTGAAGGAGACCATCTGTTTCAAGCTTAAACAACCACACATAAACAAAATGGAGAGCTACTACGCCACCAACCTACACCTTGATTCTTGTGACTCTATAGACTCATGTGAACTAATGACTCATATACGACCTACACAATCCACAGGTGCTACCCATGTGTGAATAACACAAAAGAGGGTGAAATGCCTGGGATCTCCAATGGTCAAGAAAATAAAGGAAGCCTCCTAAATAATAACAATTTCCAGGAATAAAATAAATCCAGTTGCCTTGACTTCTAGATATGCCATCTAATGGTTAAGTGAGAATCATCAAACATAGTAGGAAAGGGGAGGGGGGTCATTCAATTAACTTAAAAGAAAACAAGATGTAGCACATAAAAAGCTTATTGAAAAATGTATACAAGCCATTGAAACCAGTGGAGAGAGAGCTGCAGCAGGACTGAGTGGCAGGTCCATCAGAGTCTCCGTGCGGAGCAGATGGAGGGTGGAGATGGTGTTGATATGGATGATGTGTCACCAAAATACCGAGGTAAATGCAGCCAAATGCTTCTCATGATCTCTCAGTTCACTGAATGCCAAGTTCAAGTTAAGTCTTACTGAGCACAAAAAATGATTACTCCCTATGCCCTGATTACTGTAAAAAGTGTTTTTTTTTTTGTAGTTATCGCTCTCTGGACGGTGCACTCAGTCTTGACCTGCTTTCAGTGAAATAAAGGGTGATTTATGCCTCTCTACCCCCACAAAAACCTTCTTCTTTAATACTCCTCAACAATTTGCACCTGACTTTTAGAAGCGGAGAATGTTCCTTCACTTATTTGAGCGATCTTCCCTCAAAATACTTGTGCAATCAGAAGGAATCTGAAAGATAACGTTTCAGATTGGAAGCTGGGAAAACATTGGCTTCAGTTGCTTTAGTTTTGAAGGTCCAGCTTGACCAGCTCATAACTACCACACAGAAGACTAAAGAACAATTAGACACTTATTTAGACCTAAAGAGAAACTGCAATAAATAGAGAAGTGAGTGATGTGGCATTTCTCTCCTCCTGCACTAAACAGCCCAAGGTGTGACTCACACTGAAATCAATACAATGCCTGCACAGCAAGGACCAGCCCTGGTCTGGCCTCACCAAGCCATATGCTCTCTCTCTAATTCATCTTTCAAAGGTCCTACGGACAGATCCATGGGGGAAAGAAGAGATTAAGATGTGTTCATAAAGGGGACATCAGGTAGTTAACAAGGAACCACAACATTACGAATGTATTACATAGGACAACATACTGAATTAGAACCACAAACCTGTCCCTCTACTCTACCTTTGTGTTATGTCTTTCCATATTTGATGTTTGTAGCGGGTATCAACAAAGGCGAAAATAAAAAATACATTTCACAGTAAGTTGTTTGGAGATCAACAGTGTTTGATGCTTTGGTTTTACTGGACAAACAAAAAGCTGAATAAATGCTACGGAGGAACATGGACACAACTGTAGCACAGCAGACGAGATCAGTTTGAGCCAGACAGAAACACTGGACTGCTGAGAATGAAGTCGGCATCACCACAAATCAGGAATTTATCAAACAAGTGCTATGTCACCGCAGAAAGTTGCACAGTGGAATTCTTCACTTCCTCGTAAAATAGGTTGTGCTGCAAGCTGGAAGAGTGAATATTTCTAGCTTCTGTAACTAGTAATATGATCTAACTCAAGATGCGCTGGTGCAAGCCAACCACAATAGCCCAGTGGGCCGGCTAGCTCGGTTGTTAACTGTGCAATAATTAAAGTTTGTTAAAAAAATATGTACCATCGAATCCTGTCCCATGATTGACTGCAAACCACACCGCTTTGGTAAAGCAGTTTATACTCCAACAGGTTTATTAATTAAATTAAATGATTAGTTAGTATAACTAACACGATAGCTTCCTCCGTTTTGGACTTTTGTTCCCTCAAAGATCAGCACTGCACCGTCAAGCCAGTTTCAAAATTCACCAAGTGACAACATTTACTGTATATTTATCAAACATTTTTGCCAAGAATCTATAAAACATTAACTGTGGAGAAACCTTGGTTAACACAGTTCTTTTATTACAATTTTGTGGAACTCTGCAGTAATTTGAGTTGTTCTAAATTCATTCAACCTTTATTCACTTCTCGGGAATACACTGAGGGCTGAACCCTCATTTTCAATGACGCCGAGATTACATCCGGCTACAAAAACAGAAATAAAATAATATAATCAAATATAAACAAAAATAAAAAAAGAAGATACCGTAGTCACAAACATAAACATCAGTTAAAAAAAAAGATTCCTAATTAAAACTGTTAGATGCAAAATCATTAAGGTTAATACGCATATTTCTAAAATCCCCCAATGTTATCAGGGACTTAATATTTATTTAAAGTTCGTTGTGTAATATAAAAGCAGTCTTTCAGAGTCCTGAGTTAACACGGGGAACATGAAGGGTTATCCAGTCCTGAGAGCGGGTATGATTCTACCTTGAGGTCTAATAGTGAAGTAATAGTGAAAATGCATTTTAAATTGGCAGTGATAGCATATATGCTAATGTTGATCACCAAGTACCAATTTAAGTAGATCACCACACATACAGTTGTTGCTCTGGGTGGAAATTAACGTTAAACAGCTTGTTGTTCCTGTCCTTCCTCCTGGCTACTCAAAACACACACACACACACACACACACACACACACACACACACACACACACACACACACACACACACACACACACACACACACACACACACACACACACACACACACACACACACACACAGTTAAATACAAGATGTTTATGTAATTTATCATTATGAATGCATTTGGTTCTGTAATATAGTTTGAGCAGATGCTTTCTTGCTTGATTCCTACTGTCAGTGTTCAGCAAAGTAAACAAACTTTCCATTAAGTTACATGTCGGGTTGATTTGGCGAAGCTGCTCTGCTGAATTTTGAATCTTGATTCTATTAGCACTTAAAAGAAAACCACCCAGAGGCCAGACACATAAAACTGTTTGTAAAGCAATGCAATGGTTCTGTTTGAGGACTCTAAATCAGTCATGAAACATGTGGCACATGCACAACGAGACCACTACGCACTGCTGTGGCTATATGTAGAACCGTTATTATCATCAGTTTATCACTTCTATTTGTAAAGCATCCCGCATTGATATCTCACTCATTATTGTTAAACGTCAGAAAGCGTATTAATGATCTATAGAGCTGATACTGAACCAGACTTTACAAAAGGGCCTCACATTACATAAAAGGAGAACATTAAAAGAACATTAAAACATGCAAATGTAGATTAAAGCACGCAAAAGGAAACAATGGTAACAAGCATTTGCTTTGCAAGTGTAATACACACACATCCACCACATCAAACTTCACAGCCTTTCCTCCAACAATTCAACATAAACATCACAATGCCTCCTTGTGTTGGCAATAAACGCTGGCACTGGATGCATATCGTGCAATGTACAATCATCCAATGTAAACGTTAACCTTCTTGGGACATTGGGCTCGTGTTTACAACATACTGGATAATCAGTTGAAGAACAACTGTGCCAAACTGATCTGTAGATTTTGTATGTATCCCCAACTAAAGGAGCTGTTGAAAATCTACAGATAAAGGAAGGTTTGGAATAAATGTATCAAATGTAATGCCTAGAAGACAGATCTTTTACATATATGATGGATAAATCAGCCTGAACCTCTTGAAATGACCCTCGTCTCATGTCACGTGTTTCTGAGAAAATGATGTTTAATTATTAGATTCTGTCTCTCCCTTAACATCACCATCCCATCACCAGTTCCACATTTATATGACTTTCCGATCACTCCAAGATGAAGAGTATCCCTGGTGTGAAGTGCTTGAGCTGAACACACTGTCACAGCCAAGTCAGATTTTACCACTGTGTGTGTGGGAAATGGCGCGTGCATGGTTTTTGTGGGTATGCATCATTTCCATTTGGCCCCAGGTGTGTGTACAACTCAAACGCTTAGCTCTTTCACACAACCATTCTGTATAAGACTAAATGTAGTATCAAATAATTAGTCTCATAAAACTATTTAAGTAATTGTTATTTTCATCTAGAAGATTCTGCATTTTGAATAAATACTAATGTGCAATGTGTACTCACCTGAAGTGTGAGTTGTATATGATGTCTCAATGCCACCAGGTCCCTAAAGCCCCCCACCCCCCAACACCACCACCACTCACACAGACACACGTAAGCTCTTGTCATTTCTCCTGTGACAGTAAATTTGGTCATAGAGCCCCCCCTGGAACTTTCTTAAACCAAGACCTCTCTGTTTTTTTCCCGAATAAACATTGGTGGTGACTTGCTTTGCTCTTCAAAAGAGATTAAACAGCTGCTCTTACTCACACCTGTTCTCCCAGGGTGACACTGACGCACATACTGCTCTGTGCAATAACTATTGAAACGACATCTCACTCATTCAGCAGCTCAAACCTGGAGGCATACAGCTAAAAAAAACAACTAAAAAAACAATCAATGAAGACAAACAATCTAATCCTGGCTTTATGCACAAGTGTGTCATGTGTGAGCATATGTGGGTGTTTGCATTTGTGTCAGGTGTGTGTGCATATTTGTGAGCAGAGAAACGGGGGAAATGGGGGGGGGGGATATAGCAAATAAAGCAATGTGGAAAGAAAAAGACGGGCAACTGTATGTAAGATACTGTTTGTTTTCAAGGCATTAGCCACATTCTGTTCCAGCAACCTCCAGCTCTATCTTTGTCTCAACTTTATCTCTCAAAGGAAGGTGTAGAAGAAAGGCACCCAAAACAGAAGCAAGAGAGAGGATGATGACTGAGGTCACGGTCCACGTAATTTTCTGAGACAAATATGTCCTACTGGGAGGCAGCCTTAATAACTTTACTAGTGTTTTATTTTCCCTTACAGCCTCTAGAATGCTGCGGGGAATTAATCAGGATAGTGTCGAGCTACCTGCCACCACGCTGGCCAGCTGCTGCGTCCGAGTGATGGGGTTGACACGGCGTGCCTCCACAATGGCTGAAGCTATTTTCCTGGCGTGTCTTTCTTCCCCATATGCAGTGAGGATGGATGCAAGAGCCTGTTGATCTAGGGTATTCACAACGTCAGCAGCGCAGGGCATGTCGGGGTACCTACGCACAAAGAGAAGCCAAATTAAGCAGCTTGACGTCACGTCCTTGCTGACAGTGGCGAATCCTGACAACTCTGAGATACAGCTGAAAACCTTTATGGCTCATGAAAGGAATGGTTGTGAGAGAATGAAAAGCAACGAGCAGCTTGTGTAATACCTTATAATCAGGTTATCTTAGATGGTTGTTTTGCAAGTATATATACATATATATATATAAAACACACAAACACACACACATATATATATATATACACACACACACACACACACACACACACACACACACACATATCACTCAGTACTTTACATACACACAGAACTAAAACAAATTTTTGGGGATTTTTGATGAGAATCCATTAAAAATGGCATTATAGAATTGTGACTGAGATATGCACTGACTCTAAGGAAAACATTTTACTAAGGCTGCCCCCTAAAAGTCGAGAGACTCACTTTTTGTTGGATAGTTGCAGAAAAACAAAATAACAGTATAAAACTCTGTTTGGGAGCTGCACCTTTTCACAAGGATCAAAGTATCAGGGGATTGTTGCAACACAGAGTTTTTCTCTTTTAACGGCTCGTTCGAATAGGCCGGATGAGCAGCGCGTGGTGTTTACGGCACAAGACGGCTACGTCTGGCACACGCGCTGTGTTTACACAAAGAGTGTGTCAGTTGCTTCCACATACACTCTGGGGATGAAAGTAACTGTTAGCGTTGTACATCATCCAGTCCACCAGTATTTGTTTTAATGAAGTTGTAAGTTATTTATTCCGTGTTGTGAACAATGAGACTTGTAAGGTGTTATAATAATATATTTAAGTGTTCAGTGTCCTTGCTGGTTGTTCTTACACATTCAGAATCATTACTGCTTTATTTGTTATCATTTAACAGGTGGCTGTTAAAATATATATATTGAAATAAATTAATATCATAAATGTACCACGATCGATTATTGGCTATATCTAACAACTACTAGTCGACAAGGAAAATCTTAAGTTGGGGGCAGCCCTACATTTTACAGTTGAAAACCAAACTTGTCAGTGCTCTCTGGTGGACAAACTTGTTACTTTGACATTACTACTCCCATCATTATTTATTAAGAAAATGAAGCTGAGTGTTTTTTATGTACAGTTTTGTTAATACTGCATTATTAATCAAATTGAGATCCATTAGCCTTCCACAAATACTTGATGTGGTAAATCTCCTACCTCTCTCCATCCATTCTCATATCCAAAGGCCCATCCTTGCTGAGGGAGAAGCCTCTCTCTGCCTGATCCATCTGCATGGAGGAGCAGCCAGCATCCAACAGGACAGCATCAATGCTGCCTGGCTTAATGTTTATGTTAGACAGCAGGGCTTCAAGCTCACTGAATCGGCCAAGCAATGGTTTCACACGACCACTGAAAAAAGGATGGAGGGAAAGGAAAGGAATAAATTAAGACATTTGGCCTTGTGTAGATGGAATTGGAGAAGGAATGGTATGTTACATTATTTTGCTTACATCCTGTATTTTCAAAAGTACAGGAACATTTCATTGTCATTCAGCTCTTTGACAAGAAGAACAAGGTATGAAACTAATAATAAAAAAAATAAAAAAGCATCACTTGTGTGTGTATGAGCTAGATTTTTTCAGTTTATCAGAGACCAAATTGTCAGACAACAGGATAAAAAAAAAAGACTGCATGAAGATACGTATTTAAAGAAATGTGTGGATGGAGTAGCCCGATCCAAAATCTTTTATAGTATGTGACCTGATCAGACTGTTAAGATACAGTGTATTTTCTCTTTAAATAAATTAAAAAATATATATATGTTAAAATAAAGCTTATGTTGCATGACTTGATAAACAAGAGAGAAGACAGTGTACAGTTCATGACATCAATGCTTGGGGGTCAGACTAGTAGATTACTGTGTCATCAGCATAAAGAAGATATAAAATGTTTACATAGGCAGAGTCATGTAAAGCAGGAAGAGTAGTGTAGCCCGACTATGCTTTTCTGGGGTATGCGAATATCAAAAACAGAGGAGAAAGAGGTTAAATGGCAAGTTGTTACCACCTGGGGTCTGTTAAATAAATAAATAAATAAGGACAATCTTTAAACTTGAAGGGGAAAATCTAAGCGTGTGCCATTTATCAAGTATAAAGTCATTATTCAGTGTCAATTGCCTTGCGAAAACCAGAAAAGGAGGTGCGTATTTGTTCAGTAAGAAATATATACAGCTGACATAGAAAACTACACTGAAATCCATTCCATCTGTTCATTTACTTGATTATTAAGTTTATTTGTGTTTTACCTTCGGTTTAACTGGTAGAATAAAAAATAAAACATAAAATAAAACTGGAAGCCAAGAATATTATTTTATATTATATATTATAAAAACAAGAACAATTCACTGTTCAAGTCCACATTTTCTAAATCTCCATCTAGTGAGTTATTCACTACTGAATGGTAGTTTGTTAAAATTATCAATAAGAAATGTGTGCATAAAACTCTCATAGAAAATGAAAGGGAGTTGGCAGATTCACCCATCTTGCAGCTTTCTGTTTGTTTCTGCCCTCAGTAACTCACATTCACACCTGAAAATTGCTCGGTACAACCACAGTCTGATCACCACTGAGCAGCTCCACTGGAGCAGTTTGGGGGTTAGGAGTTGTGCTCAAGGGCACTTTAGTCTGTGCCACCACTAAGGGAATGAGGGAGCAGCACTTTCGCTAACCACAACTGCTACTGAATGTGAATGGTAAGTGCAGCCTTCAATTTATGGGAAATACTGACCGTTTTCCATATTTTATGTTTACAGCATCATACCTGCATTGTACAGAAACAACATCCACATTCAACATCAGGCAGGTCAAGGTTATTTTAAGCAGGTTGGTCAGGAAACCATTTGAGATATATGATTGAATGGAGACCTGCGATAGCTTGAGCAGCTTTCCAGTCAACCTTTGAAAACCCAATGAAGTATTTCCTTGGAAGCAGACTAACTGTCTTAGCGAGCATATTGAGATCCTTCCTTGTCACCGACAGAGCAAGACCATGTGTACTCAGTCACTTCCTCATGCACGAGTGGTGAGATCCTCCAGCCACATTCATGCATTTTTCATTTGACCTTTTAACATTGTGTGAACAAAGATGATGGCAGAAGAGAGCAACAGGAGTTAGCATCTACACATACAATAGCAAAAGGTCTTCTGCAGCCTTCTTCACCCATCTGGTTCCCAAATATGAAAACAGGTTTCTCGTGAAGTTGTTACTCTTCATTTCTAAATAACAAATAATTAATTTTTGTATATTGCAGACCCACTGTACAAGCCAAGCTGTGTAATCAGTATATTAACAGAGGTTAACATGCATTTTTAATAGGTAATATGGTTTAAGATCTCAATATGGGACCACAAAAATGCAACTCCTGCTCTGGTCATCATGACCTCAGGTGAGGGAGACGTGACTGCTGATATGAATATTTTCTGAAACCACGTCTTATCGTACTTGAGGCTAGATGACTCAGAACAAAAATACTGCTGCCATTGGTATCCTTTGTCATTCATTTTAGTCATTCACTCATTTAATGGCATGTATTTTAAGTTTGCCTACTGGTAAAATGTGCATTAATATTGAATAAAATAAGCATAAAGAAGCATTTTCTCTAGCCAGTCATTCACGTCTAGCCATTTATCAATGATGACACATTTGTAAGCTTTGCACAACAAAGTCATGGTTCTGTTTATGTTCTGTGGACTGCATTTATGATGGACAGGTTTAAATGTTTGGAAAAGAGGGATAACAATAGCAAAGTGAATGAAATATTTGGATAATAATATGCACTAAATTTGCTGTGTTTATGAGTAAAGCGGCTGCTGTTCCACTAACAGATCTTTGCAAGGTTCTCTTACGCTACATGACCAGTTAACCTTACGTCAGTCATTACAAGATAAAGCAAATTCATAGCTATTAGCCCTTGTCAGTGTGGCTCTGTCTATTTTTTTGAAAAAGGCACACTCAGTGTATAAAGTCCCAGCTTATAGTTTGACAGGTGCTTCAATAAAACTCTGTAGTCCATTTTATTCACCTTAACTAATAAAAGTGTATTATTTAGGAGGATCTATTGGCAGGAATGGAATATATATATATATATATATATATATATATATATATATATATATATATATATATACATACATACATACATACATACATACATACATACATACATACAAAAATGTTTTTGTTACCTTAGAATGACTCTGGCTGCTTTGTTGAACCATCATGTTTCTACGGTAGCTCAGCACAGACGAACCAACCACTGGCCGTAGGTAGGGCCTTTTACAAGTGTTATGGTCACCATTCTCCTACCTAATTGGAAGGGGAGGGTGAGGCAGGGTGGTTGTAACTTATAACCTCACTGCTAGATGCCACTTAATCCTACACACTAGTCCTTAAACTGAAAAGCTTTCTTCAAATCATGGTAACACACTAAACTCTAAACCCTAACACCTTAAACTAAATTAACTAAAAAGCACAGACAACTTGTTAAACACTTTAACCAATGCCGTCATTAGTGGCCCATATTAAGCTGTGTATCCTTAATGACAGCACAATTTAATAATGTCTCTATTTTTTTTTACTAATATTTATGGTTTCAATGGTTCTAACAGCAGCAACAGTGACTGAATGTGTTTTAACCCTAGCATTATCATTAGCTGGCAATGGCTAGCGGCGATCAGACAGTCTTCTTCCTGTGAAAATGAAGCAAGTCTCTAATCTTAAATGTACGCTATGCACTTTCAAATGCTTCATTAAATCTGATGTCTCACCCATCTTTGAATCAACTAGGAATCTGTGAACATAGATTGAGTCACTGCTTTCAGCACATGGACTTCCATCTGGAGGAAAAGGCTTGTTGATTTTAGTGTATGCCTACCATGTGCAAGCTAGACCACAATAGCCACTTAACACTCATTACAAAAACTACTGCTCATACTCTCTCCATCCTGTTGTATAACAAAGGACACATTTTTGACGATCACTGGTGCACCTTAATATCAGTTTTAGTCCAAGTGTCTGCAGAACTAGTTGTAAAATGTGACTGCAGACAGGAGCCCTGTAAAGGTACTGCCATTAGCTCCGATGTAGCTGTTGCTCTATTGCTCCTCTATAGTTTGATTTAAGTTCAGTTTTAGAACATGTACTTATTTTCTACACAAGATTAGGCATGTTGAAATCAGTATTGTATTGATACCAATAAGCAGCATCGGTATCAAGCGACTGACATCCTTCCCTTCTAAGATATTTTACCAAATTTGAAACTCGCCCCATTTATGTACACGACGACTCCACCTTTCTCAAGATTAACTAGGGGCATTCCAGGAAAGAACACAAATTGGCAGGTCCTCTATTTCAAAACCCACTGAAGACAAAATGGCAAGGGAGCATCTCACCCACGCTGCCAGGGCCCTCCTTTGCTTTGCTGTTGTTATTCACTATCCTGCACAGTGATTGATTTGTTGAAAAATCTATAGTAAAGGCTTTGTTGTTCTCTCCCATCACCTGCGCAATCCCTTTCTGTTACTGCCTCCTCAGTAGCACTCCACCCACCATCTCCAATTTCTATTTTTTTTTCCCCGTTATGCAAAGTTGCAGTATAAACTGTCTTTTTGGTGAAAGTTTAAAAACTTTTTTACTTCATTGGTTTTAGAACAATTTTCCATTCTGGATTCTAGATGAAGCCTATTTACTCAAACAGCTGGAGGTCACGCAGTGTTGTGCTGATGATGATGTTGTTGTTGCCCCAAAAGCTAGTTGCTAACTTTGTCTGCACCTTTTGGGTTGCAAAGGTAGCATACAGCCAGTTTATCAGAGATTTTTGTGTGTGAAAACAGCTCCCTCCCACTGCAGGAACTGGTGAGACTGAACCAAACTGTAAAAATGTGCAGCCAAGGAGCTAAGGAGACGTTTGTGTTTCCTTTATGCTTCTATATACAACTTGTATAACATGTTGGGGCTTTTTTTTTTTTTAAACCTGCCTCCTGACAGGAGTTGGAACAACCAATCAGCTTGGTCAATACAACGCATAGTTTAGATTTGGGTGTGTGCTATGAGCTACAGATAACAGGCCTTTTGTATACAATTACAGAAGATAATTTTAAGTAATTCCAGCTTTAGGTGATCATTTTAGAATGTAACTCTTAATAGATTTATCTTGTGTAAGTGTAAATGTTCTTAAATGTAAATAATGCAGTTAACTTACGTTAAAAAGATTGCGTAGTCTCACATACTTTTCTTAGTATTTTCCTGTTCAGTCAGAAAGTGACCAACAATACAAGTTAGCTTAACTGCCTTAACTGTTCATATTGTATTTCAGTGAAGTAAGAGCCTGAAAATAGTTCCCTCCTCTATTT